TCAAGAAACCCTACCGGATACACAAGAGACCCCAAGAAACTCCTTAGGGGATCCTGCGGGATCCTCACGAAACCCGAAGAGATCTTCAGGATCCTCGGGAGCCCCTAGGATATCCCCAGGAAGCCCGAGGGGATCCTCAGGAAACCTTGGGGGATCCTCAGGAAACCCTCGGGGATCTTCAGGAAGCCCGAGGGGATCTTCAGGGAACCCGGACAAACCTTTTTAGGATATCCTGAGGAACCCCATGTAAAAAAGGGATCCTGAGGAATCCCGTGTGGGGTACTGAGGAACCCATGGGGTGCTCAAGAAGGGAATCGTGAGGGGCCCCTGTGGAATCCTGAGGCAACCCGAGGGGATCTTCAGGGATTCTTATGAACCCCAGGAGTCACTAGTAATCCTCAGGAGTCCTGTCAACCTGAGAGATCATCAAGCATCCTTGGGGATAACTACTTAGGAACCACCAAGAAACCGCAACATGTCTCAGAAATCCTGCAGGATCGGTGGGGGTCCTTAAACAAATTAAAAAATCTGGAATCCTTCAGACTCATCAGGAAACCTCCTGGATCCCGAAGACTCCACAGGAACCCTGAGGGATCCTGAAGGGTCCTCAGGGATCCTGCGGAGTCTCTGCAGCATCCTGAAGACTCACTGAAGCATCCTGAGGACTGGCTCTCCAGAGGAACCCTGAAGAATCCGTTTAAAAGCCTTCTGGATTTCTCAGAACTCCTCGGGAGTCCGTACGGATCCAGAGGATCCCCCGGAAGAATCCCTGACGGATCCCGCAGGACTCGTTGGGGATTCCAAGGGAGCGCGAGGGATCCCTGAGGACTTGACGACCCCCCAGGACGCCTCAGAGTCCCTCAGGAAGCCCAGGGGATCCTACGAATCCCTAGGAAGTCCTTGGACATCCCTGAGGACACCTCAGGGGTCTTGAGAAAACCCTGCGGGCCCCATAGGACTCCTGAGGAGTCGTTGGGGCTCCGGAGGAATCCGTGCGTGAGGAGTCCTAAAGGCTCCTGAGGAAACCCTGGGGCGTCCTCAGGACTCCTGAGGAATCCCCGAGGAGCCCATGAGGATCCTGACGAATCACAGACAATCTTTTCAGGACTTCTGAAGAGTTGTACGGGGTCCTGAGGAATCCGTGAGGATTCCTCAGGACTCCTGAAGGATCCCTGAAGACCCCTCACGAATCCTGGGGGGTCCCTGGAGACTCCTCAGGACTCCTGAAGAACCGCCAGTACCCTGCGGAATCCCTGAGGACTCCTGGCGAGTCCCTGTGAATTTCCGAAGACTCCTCAGGACTCCCTGAAGACTCTCTGGGGTTCTCTAGGTTCCTCAAGATTTGTTGTTGGCCCGCGGGCCCCCGCAATCCCACTCCTCGCCCGGCCCCAGGGTGCCTGCTCAAGACCCCCGCCCAATCATAATCCCCGAAGGCCGTTCCGAATCCTCAGGATATGTTGGTCGTCTGCGCTCTCTGCGCGCCAACGCCTCACCCGGCCCCCGGGCGCCTGTTCGGGGACCCCACCCCAAGGCATACGCCCCTCCTGGCCCCGTATGGCGAGCTCGCGACCCCAGCCCCTTCTCGAACCTTAAAGCTGCCACCTGTTGTCCAAGACGATCAAGATATGGGAAACAACAAGGGCCGGGACGTGGGTTGCTACGAACAACACTAGCAGCAGCAACAGCAGCAACAACAACAACAGCAGCAACAACAACATCAACACCAACACCAGCACCAACAACAACAGCAACAGCAACAGCAACAGCAACATCATCATCAACAACAATAACAACAACAACAACAACAACAACAACAACAACAACAACAACAACAACAACAACAGCAGCAACAGCAACAGCAAAAACAGCAACAGCAACAGCAACAGCAACAACAACCAACGACAACAACAATCAGTTTAAAACTGTTCGCCCTTATCTGCTCGAGTGTCCAATAACGCGAATCTCCCAAACCCTCGATGCCCGCCTTCTTCGTCTTCGATCGAACTCCTCTGGGGGGGTATGCCTTTCTTCCCTGCAGGCCGGGCCCCGGCAAGCGGCGGGGCGGCCGCGGACCGTCGGCCTGGCCAGCGGCAGCGCTGATCGGCGGGGCGGCCACGGACCGTCGACCCGACCCCAAGAGGGATGGACAGGGGACCGACCACGACGACGACGACGACGACGACGACGACGACGTCGACGACGACGGCGACGACGACGACAGCGACGACGACGACGAGCGAAAGCGAGAGCGAGAGAGAACGACAGCAGGGCCACAAGGACACGAAGTAGGCCACGAAGGGTGACAGCGGGGACTCGAAGGGAATGCGTATGGGGCCACGAAGAGCGCAAACGAGCGGGGGCCACGAAGGGCAGATAATGCGGGGCCACAGAAGGCAACGATGGGGCCACTGAGGGTAGCAACTAGGCCACGTAGGACAGTGAGGGGGCCACAAACGGCACGGCGACAGCGGGGCCACGAAGGGCATGCACATGGGGCCACAACGGGCGCGAACGAGCGGGGGCCACGAAGGGCATATGTTGGCCGCGGAGGGCAAGGACGGGGCCACTGAGAGCAGCAACGGGGCTACGAAGGGCAGCGAGGGGGCCACGAAGGGCGACAGCGGGGCCACGAACGGCCTGCATATGGGGCCACCACGGGCACGAACGAGCGGGGGCCACGAGGGGCATACATATATGGGGCCACGAAGGGCAGCGAGGGGGCCACGAAGGGCTGCAACGGGGCCACGAAGGGCTGCAACGGGGCCACGAAGGGGAGCGAGGGGGCCCCCAAGGGCGACAGCGGGGCCACGAAGGGCATGCATATGGAGCCACGAAGGGCAGCGAGGGGGCCACGAAGGGCTGCAACGGGGCTACGAAACAAAGCGAGGGGGCCACGAAGGGCTGCAACGGGGCCACGAAGGGCAGCGAGGAGGCCACGAGGGGCTGCAACGGGGCCACGAAGGGCAGCGAGGGGGCCACGAATGCCACGAAGGGCTGCAACGGGGCCACGAAACAAAGCGAGGGGGCCACGAAGGACTGCAACGGGGCAACGAAGGGCAGCGAGATCCCGAATCCTAGGTAATATGTGAGGGAGTCCTGAGCGTGAGCGCGACTCCTGGGTGCCTGGGTGTCGGGAGCGCGGCGCTTGAGTAAATTGCAAGTAATTCTAACGCAAGGGCGCTATTCGTCAGTAAAATGCAAGCAAATCTCCAGCGAGAGCGCGACTCCAGAGCGCCGGGAGAACGATTCCTGAATAAATTGTAAGAAAGTCCCAAGCGAGAGCGCGATTCCTGAATAAAATGCGAGGAAATCTCGGGCGGGAACGGGGGTCCTGGCTAAATTGTGGGGACGTCTCAAGGGGGAGCCGTTGTTGTTGTAACCCGGGGGCCAGGGGAGCAGATTGAGCATCAAGATTTTCCCTGTCAAAAAACAAGGTGCGAGCGTCGAGAGGCACACTTTGATTGAGAAAGAACAATGTTCACCGGTGAGGGGGGATCAACAACAATTATTTTTCAGAAATGAAAGTTCAACAACAACCAGAGCAAAACAAACCGACAAACAAAATCGACGTCGGCGAACTCGGTAAACCAAGCGCGGGAAAACTGAGCGTACTGCCTCTCGGAGCGTGCAGCCGACAGGCTGGGCCAAAAAGCTGCAAGGGGAGGCGGAGGGGGGGAGGACCTCTCCTCGATCGCCTGCGTTCGCGCCCTCGCGCCGCCGTCCCGGAGAGGGACGCCTCCAAGGCCGGAAGGCCGAGGCGCGCGAAGAGAAGCTCCTCTTCGCGTCCCTACGGGTGACCCCCAACGGGCCTCAGCCCAAATCCGTTCAGAATCGGTCCTCCCAGGAGTCCGGTCTGGCAAGTTCCTCGGCACGAACCTCCAAAACGGCGACGTCGAAATCTGCCCCTGGACCCCTCCCAGGGGGCCCACCCTGGCCAGTTTCTCGGGCCAGTCCCAGGGGTCAATTCTGGCCAGTTTCTCGGGCCAACCGTGGCAACTTCCGGAAACGCTACCGCATCAAAAAAGATCCAGAACGACGACGTCGAAATCCGTCCCCAGGCCTCTCCCCTGGGGCCGTGCTGGCCAGTTTCGGGCCGCGTCCAGCCGTGGCGACCAGAACCTCCAGCCAGTTTCTCAGGCCGCGTCCAGCCTTGCTGACCAGAAGCTCCAAAAACGCCCCCAAAACCTTCAACATGACGACGTCGGAATCTGTCCCTGGACCCCTCCCTGGAGGCCACCTTGACTAGTTTCTCGGGCCGCAGACGTGGCGCCCAGAAACTTCAGAAAGGCCCCCCAAAGCATTCAAAAGCGATGACGACAACAGGTCCGTCCTTGCGTTTTTTTTTCCGAGGCGCGCACAGCCGTGGCGACGATCACATCCAGAAACGCTCCCCAGAAGCTCTAAATCGACGACGTCGAGGTCCAGGGTCCCGCCGCCCAGCCATGGCGACGAGAACCTGAGGAGGAACGCTCGGGCGGGGGACCAGCGTAGGGGGGAACACGTCGAGCTGGAATCGGCGATACAGGTCGATAGATCTGCAATAGGCTCCCGACAGCGAGTCCGCACATTCATAGCCGGGGTGGGGCTGTCGGGCCCCTATCGGCGACCAATGGGCGATTGCAGGTCGAAGCATCCCCTCCTGAGCCTATCCCCCCTGACGTTGCCCCTCGGTTCTCGGGTCATAACACCGCTCTATGGCGGCCGTTCGGGACGATGATGGCACCCCGGGAACGCCCTCGTCAAGGCGCAGCTGATGGAAACCACCCCAGGATTCGAAACCTTTTTAGAAACTTCTGCCGAAAACGTCCCCCCTGGGCCTATCCCCCCCACGAACATTGCCCCTGACCCTTCCTCACTGGGCTCTGCCCCGAGGGTCTCCCCGCTGAGCCTATCACCACTCAGCCTATCCCCCCCGGACGTTGCCCCCGAGAGCCTCCAGAAGCGCGGGCAACGAAAAATCTCAAAAGACGACGGCGGTCGAGGCACGGGGCGGGGCGCTCCTGCAGGTGCAGGACTACGTCGCGGCCCAGGGCCTTGTCGACCTTGCGGGGGCCGACGCCGTCGCCGCCGCCGTTGTCGCCGCCGTCGCCGCAAAGGCCGCCATCAGCTTGACCGTGGGGGAACAAAAAGCCCTGAGACCCTGGCGTCTCAATTGTGTCAAGCTGGGCATTTTCACCGAGTTTCGGGCCCCAAGACCCTCACAAGTCAATCTGGCCCCAAAAATGCAGTCGAAAGATTTGGTCCAGGGTCTAGGGCAGTGTTCCCAATATTTTCGTGACGTCGGACCTCAGGGAGGTGCCAATACCGCCACTCCACGGACCTCTTCCAGGGTGCGTTCTGGCCAGAATCTCGAAGCGAATCCGGCCGTGGCGACGAGAGCCTCCCAGAAGGCTCCAAAAAGGCCTTTAAGGGGGAGACACGAGGCAAGGGCAGCGGTCTCGCTGCCTCTTCCTCCTCTGAGGCAGCCCGGCCTGCTCGAGGCGCTGCAGGCGCCGCTGCATCGCAGGGAGCGTGGCCGCGGCCGCAGGGTCCTTGAGAGGAGGGAAATGAGGGCCACGCCCAAGACTGAACGCGGAAACATAGGTGTCGATCTTGGTCGCCCTCCATCTTGGTCAGCGCCAGCTCGTGGACCGTCCTCGCGAACCGGCGACGGCCGGCACGGACCATGACCAAAATCGGCGTCGACGAGATCCTGTGACACTTTGGTCATGGTCAGCCTGTCTCTTCCCTCGAACACTGGCTGGGGATCAGAATTCGAAAGGCTTCCGCAACCAAGTGGACCCCAGCGGGGGTATCCGATATACCCCGGCGCCGATCGGACCCGGCCGTGACGGCTCGCAAGCGATCGCAGAGATGACGTCTCCACGTTTGGTAGAAGCCATAGAAGAGCTGAATTCCCGTCGGGACCCGCTCCGCTGCACCGCCCAGATGGCCCAGGAATTGGCGACATCTCCGCGCTCGGCAACGCTGGTCGAGGCGAGGCCGCCGTGCTGGGCCCCCTGGCTGACTCACAAGCGGGTGGCGGCTCCACACCTGGCCAGCACCGAGGGCGAGCGAGGTCCTGGCCACCCTGCTCCTCCCCTCCGCCCCAGAGATCTCCACGTTCTGGGAGCGCTCTGGCCGTCCCGCGGCCCTCCTCCGCCCGCCCTCCTGCCGCGCCCTCCCCGCGTGCCTGCTCCGCCTCCGTCGCGCCTGTCGCTCACTTCGGGCACGAATCAATGGGGGTCGATAAACTGGGGGGGAAGAGAAGTGCCCTGCTAGGACCCTCAAGGGCCCCTTTCCTGCAGCCCTCGCTGCCCCCCCCATATTTCGCCGCTCCATCACGCGCCCTCCAATTTGCTGGCCGCTTGCTGGAGCCGGCTCGACGCAGATCCAGCGTTTCTTCCCTCGAGGTCCGGCATCGCGTGGGCGGGGCCCCCATCCTGGAGGCGGCGCAGCTCCTCGCCGCGCCTCTCGAGCTGCCGCCTCGCCTCGCTGAGCTCGAAGGCCAGGCGAGCGTTCTCGCTCTGCAGAGCGCCTGGGCCAGGGGCGCCCCGTCCGCCCTCCCGATCCCATCCCTCCCCTCCCAGATCTCGTCGCGTCGTGGAAGAATCACGGCGGAGAGTTTTTGCCGAGGTGAGGCCTCTCGGGGCCCTCACCGGGCCCCGGGAGCGTTAAAAGACGACTCGGCATGACAAACTGGTCCCTGGGAATGGGTCCAGACCTCTTGGGGAGCACGGTGCGACAAAAATCATGACGTCGGGGGTCTGGGCTCCCATCCCTCCCATCCCCTCCCATCGCATTCCTCCCTCCTCCGTTCCTTTTCTTTTCTTCTCCTCCCTTCTCGCATCCTCCTGCTCATCGGACACTTCCTCCTCCTCCTCCTCCTTCTCCTCCTCCGCCTGCTCCCCTTTTGTGGTTCCGCATAACACGATGGAGTCCTTTGGAGGTTCCAGGTCCGCTATCACAACCGTCGGCGGATAGGGGAAAAATCCACACAGTGGGAAGGGATGGGCGGGAGAGACAGGATGTCAGAAATAGCGCGAGCGCACCCAGCTCGTGTTTCCTCCTCTCTTCTTGTCCCTACACCCCCTCTCAATACGAACTTCATGACTCCTTGAGGTCGTAAGAACTCTGAATTCTGGTCGTTGACTTCATGACTCCTTGAGGTCGTTCCATGCGTAGAATTATGTCTCGTCTGGACTGTGAACGGGGCTTGCGCCCCCTGCCAGTCGTCAGGTGCCCCCATATTGAACGCGTGGGCTCCATTAACTCCGTAAAACAAATCAAAGGGGGAAGAAGTCGGTGCCTCCCTTGCCTTCTCCCGCCCACGCGTGGACCCAGCCTGCGACAACTTGGAGTTCAACGACTACGGTGAGATCTACCCTCGCAGGCGAAAACGGACAACCTTCATCATGATCGGGTCCTCGACAACTTCAAATTTTGTCCACAACAGATTCAACGAGCAGTCGTAGCCGTGAAAAGAACGGGTCCAGAAAGAATCAGGCCCTGGACCCTGGGGCCTCCCTGGGACCAGCTTCCTGTCCCGAGCCGGTCTGTTGACCCCTGGACCTTGGGAAGGCCCCCGGAGCCCGAGGGTGGCCCAAAGTAGCCTCGAGCACCCGTTCCCTCAGGACTCCTGGAAGAACAAGCACATAAACATACACTTTTGCAGGTCCGCGCGGAACCCCGAAAATTTATGTTCATGTTTCTTCTTCGAATGACCCCCCTCGTTCTTGGCGACCCTGGGAGCGAGAAAGGCGGGGTGACACCGAGGAAGAGGGACCTCTTCCTCCTGCTTGCGAAGCTCCTCCTCGTTCCTCGCCCTCCTCCTCCTCCTCTTCGCATTCCTCCTCCTCATCGAGGGGGAGGCCGCCAGGCCTGAGCTGGAGGCCCCGTCCTCGAGGCTGCCGCGCAGGGCCTCGGGCAGCAGAGCGGAAAGAGAGGGGAGGAAAGCAGGCGCGGCAGCTGATGCAGCGGGGGCGGCACCGGGGGCGAGGAGGATGGAGCGGGGGGGGCGGGGGGGGGGGAGCGAGTGGGGAAGGGGCAGGGACGAGAGGAAGGGGGGGGGAGGGAGCGCGACGAGGGAGCAAGGACGAGGAGGCTGAAAGGGGGTGGCGGGGGGGCGGCGCGAGAAGGGAGGAGGGAACGAGTAGGGGGGAGGAGGGAGCGGGGAGCGGGGAGGGTGGAGGAAGGACGAGTCAGAGTCCGTAGCCATGTTGGCTCAAGCCATGTTGGCTCAAGTTGCCATCTCGTCAAGGCAGCTGGCCAGGACAGCCTTTGCTTAGTGCGTAGGCAGGCATCACGGCCTCGCCCACTGTGCGTTTGAGAGAGCTCCTGTGGGAGCGAACTTGTTTCATTCTATCCGCCCATGAGTTATAAGGATGTTCTCTTGGGCCCAAAGAAGCCGCTGTGGGCATGCACCAACTGCCACCGCTCAGGGAACTGGGCATCGAGGGTCAAGTGTGCGCGTGGTTCGGCGGCCCCTCAGTCTGTGCAGAAATCGGCCAAAGCTGCACATGAGAAGATCATGTTGTCTGGTGCCAGCGGAGGCAAGGCGCCCAAGGGGAAGTGGAGCTCTGGTGCGCCGCCAGCCTTCGACTCTACGCTCAAGAAGATTATCAGCCGTCTTGATGGGCTCGAGAAGCCAACCTCTGCCCCGGCATCCCCGCCGCCATGGAGGATTGAGTCGGAGTCGGTTACCGCGCCCAGCAGCGACCAGAAGGACGCCAAGGATCGCCGGGCGCACTGGCAGAAGGCCGCGAGAGTTGCCACTTACCAGGAGGACAAGATGGTGGCTGAGGAGAAGGTTGCCAAGCTCCAGAAGGCCATCAACGATGCCAAGCCCCTCCAGATCCAGCAGCGCAGCATCACGACCAGGTTGGAGCGGGCGCGCGCGAGCGCGTCCTCGTTGTAGAACAAGCTTAAGAGTGTCAAGCAGGAAGTGGAAGAGGCGCACGAGCTACTTGATGAACGTCTCGCCAATGCCAAGCAGGCGCTGGGGGAGGCGCGGCGCCAGGTCGCAGCCCTCGAGCAGAAGGCCAAAGAGAGCTTCGCCAAGTCGGTGGCGTGCGCTGACGGGCCTATTCTTAAGATGCAGGAGCAGCAGATGGGCGCGGCCTCGGAGTTCAAAGCAGGGTTCCGTTCTCAGAAGGGGGACGAGACAGCCAGCAAGCACCTCCAGGCGCTCTTAGTTTTCATGGCAGACAAGCAAATCGATCGTGAATGGCCAGGTGTTGGTTTTCAGATCCCTGCGTTGCGACCTGAGTTGCAGTTCCAGGACGCCAGTTTCGACCCCCAGCATGCGAATGCGACATTCTCTGGTGCCGCGGACCCGAAAAGTTTCATTGCCAAGTGCACTGGGACTTCCTCGACGACAGTGGCCGCACTCTTGGCTCCTGAGATGGTGGGGACCCCGCAGTGGCAGCGGCACCCGCGAGACTTGGGCGCGCCTGGGCCCTTGAATCCGTGGGAGGTCCCCCACTGTAGGGGGATCGCTGGGGCGGGCCTCGCAGCGCCCCACATGATGGAGCTCAACGGCCTGCGGGTCGTAGAGGCGGCTCTGGTCTGCTCCCTGGTCAGTTCCCTGGAGGAGCCGCAGCCTGTCCAGCCCACGTCCGAAGTGGACCACATGCTGCGGCTGGTGACGATCAGGTGCATGAGTCAAGCAACGAGACGGTACATGGCTGGAAGAGGACGGCCCCGCCTGCCCCAGCGCCCTCGACTATCCCTGCTCCTAGGTCAGCACCTTCGGCTGCGCCCAGACCTCGTTCCAGGACTAAGAGAGATAAACTATCCAAGTGGGGCTTCTTCTCTTGTAATCGAACTGTTGGAGCTCCCGGGAAACCGTCCTGGAGTGGAGGCTGGACAAAGGCCTCGGTGGGCCCAAGCACCAGTTCTTTGCGGGCAAAAGACTCGAGTTGTGGATTCTGACACCATAGCTGAGTATATCGGGCCCCTGAGGGCCAGGGGTATATCAACTGACTTCTGCCCAGCGGTTCAGACGGGAGGCCATGCGCTGGCCAACTCTGCAAGTGCGTTGGCAGGAGGCCTCCGCCACATCAGCCAGCTCACGATCCAGCCCCGGGAGATCAGCAAGATCCCTGAGGCCACTAGGAGAGTCTTGGCGCGTCACGTTCAAGCTGTTGCACCCAAGGACCTGCTCTGGATCTCTATTTCCGCCACAGTATTGGGGTTCCAGGTGCGAGCGCTGGCGCACTGGCCTCCCTGCTCCCTGGGCCGATACTTGGCAAACCTGGCGGTCCCATGAGTCATAGGCTGCGGTGCGAACATGGACCCGAAAAGCGACGGACTCAGGGGCTGGTGCTCCCGCGTTGGAGCTGCGGTGGTGGCTACTGATCAGGCCAGTTGCTCGTCAAGTTCAAGCTCTACTTTGGATTGCTTCATCCTGCCGCAGGGCTTGCCGTCCTGCGTCGACAAGATCAGCGTGCAGCTAGGTGCCCCGATGTCGCCTCACTCGCCTGTCGAGCTCTGGTTGAAAAAGGGGGTCTCGCTGGCCATCCCCATCCACTTGAGGTGCACTTGGAAGAGGTTCCTACCAAGATGCACGTTGGTTGCCTAGGGGCCCCTGAAGACAGAAGCTGATTGTGGGATGTAGGTAACGTCGGCGAGTTAGCCTTCGGTGAGTCTTGGGATCCATGGGCGAATAACTCGGAGCGTGGGCTTTGCCGGGCTTTCGGCTTATATGGGGAAGGCAGAGATAGGTATGTTGGGGACCTGCTGGGTTTAGCAGGCGTACTCTGGCGTTGGGGGCCGTTCTGAGACTGAAATGGTCCTCTCACTCTACCCCGCAACTGCGTGCATGGCGTTCTCTGGTGGCACTGCTGAGCAAGGCATGTCCATGTACTGATTGTGGCGCCGACTTGCCACTTTGGACTAGGGTTCGAGGTGGATTGCTTCGGCATGGCGAATATTTGATGCAGCCTCAGCTTGCTGTACTCGCCCCTTCGATCGCTGACATGATGAGGGCCATTGTTGCCACCGATGGTCGTGAGGTCGGCCACCTCCTCCCCGCCGCTCGACCCACCCATGGGCACTTGGCTGCCGAGGCCTCGCGCGCCCACTGGTCCAGGTGGAAGGAGTGGGCCAAGGAAGCGACCGCCAAGGGAAGCAAGGCTGCCCGTGCCTGCTCCAGGGACAAGAACATCGCCATAGGTCCGTTGGCCAAGGAGGGCTGGGAGCTCCAGGGAGCTCAGGTGTCGGGGCGCTTCTCGACGAGTGGAGCAAGATGGGCAGCGCCACCATTCGGGCCTCACGGAGGCCCAGGTCGCCAAAGCTCGTGCCTCGACGGAGCCCACGAGACCTTCGCCACAAACAGTCGGATGGGCCTCGGGGAAGTTCAAGCACGAAAATGGCCACGGGGTGGACGGCTGGAATCCGCGTTCCTGCTTATGTTTACCTGGAGTTTACATTGACCGTCTTATCAACACCATGATGGATTGGGATTGGGACCCCCAGCAAGTTGCCCCTGAAGTACCCCGCGGCAATGGCCTTCCAGGGCAAGCCCGAGGGTGCTGGATTGCGCCCACTTGCTCTGGTCCTATCCCTGTTTCGCGTGTGGGGTAGGGTGGGGCAAGTGGTTGCGCGCGCCTGGGAAATGGACCACCGCTCACCATTCGTTTTGGGATCCAGAGACAAGGCGTGCGACAGAGCAGGCTGGCAGCATGCGATGCTGAACAAATGCGCCCGTCTGGGAGGTTTTGCGTCATCCACCCTCTGTGCTGATCTTGAAACGTTCTGCGAGCTAGTAACGCAAGGCACCTTGCTCGACGAAGCCGAGAGACATGGTTTCCACCTCGGCCTCACCGGCTCTGCCATATGTTTGTACGCTGGGCCGCGAGTGCTCATTTGTGCAGGTGCATGTTCAGATGCTCTCACTGTCGCGGGCACGATCCTTGCTGGCTGCAGCCTGGCAGCGAGTTTTGCGAAGGTAATCTTGCACAGAGTGCTGCGCGGACTGGCCGCGGCTTTCCCATCTTTGCACATCCGCAGCGCTGTGGATGACGTCGCATTGCAGATGCTGGGTACGGCCAAATACATCGTGGAGAATTGGGGCGCTGCAGGCAGTGTCTGGGAAGATAACCCACTTCATAGCGTCCTGCAAGGAGATCTCCGAGGGCCTCTCCAAGGCGTGGCGGGCCCCTAAGTTCTCCTGCAAGGTCACGTTGGGGCCCCTGGGGTGCGACGCCGTGGCCAGGAAGGCCAGGGGGAACCCGGCGGCGCTCAAGAGGCTCAAGAAGGCTGGCCGTCGCGCTCGTAAGCTCGGGGTGTTAAAGCTCACTGGGGCCAACCTAGCTGGGGTACCCAAGGCTGGGCCCCAGTCTTGCGCTCGTTGGGGCACCGCTGCGGCTGGACTTACACAGCTTCAGGCGCATGCTCTTCGCGTCGCTGCCTGCAGGAACCTCTCCACGAGCAAAGCTGGAGCGCTGACCTTTTTTCGGTTGAGATCCTATGGCGTTGGAGTCAAGACGGACCCCTGCACCTTCCACCATGGCAACGTCGTGCACCCATGGGCAAGAGCTGTTTGGGACGGTTCCCTGTCGCTGGACGCGGCCCAAACAATGTTCTAATTGGCTGCCGCAGAGATGAGTAAAACTAGAACGCCATGGGCCTCTGCGACTTCACCTGCGCACGTTCTGTTACTTACCTTCGCTGAGATTGGCTGGGTGCCTGAGTCTGCTAGGCGCTTCAGCAAGGCTGACGGCGAGACAGTGGGCCCCCTGGCAGTGGCGCCCATCGTTGTGCGCGACTCTGCAGTGGAGGACGCAGGCATCAGGGCGGACGAAAAGGCGCTTCGACAACGCCCCAACCTCAATAGGGCGTGGTGCAGACCCGCGTTGTGGGAGGGGGCCAGGGCCATGATGGAGGGTGCCACGAACGAGTTTTGGCACCCGCATAAAT